AATATAAAGTTATCAGTGAAGAAAACCCGTCTGGATAACAGCAGACTGACTGCTGGTAAAATATACGACAGGTGTTTCCTCCTCTCCTGAATTTTGTTCGTATCTGAAAAAAATCTTAGAATACAAAAACATTGGTGAATGCCACAAATTCTCCTAAATCACTCGTACGCACAACTTAAGAACAAATCTGTGTGTACGAACGGTTCTTGCATGAGGCCCAATGAGAGTATTTACACTGGCTGCGCACGGCAGACGGCGATCCGCCAACATTAGAACAGATCTTATTTCTGCCGGAGCTGCGCCGGAGTCAATTTTTAAAAATTGCTTAGCACCAACAGGAAGTGGAATGAGCACAAAATCCGTATTTTCAAAATAAGACACTATTAGGTAAAATAATTTATCGGAATAATGTCGAAATCCCAGCTATATTAATCAATATATGGATACATTTCTACACAAATGCTGTCAGAATATATCGTTCTGTTTGGGAAGCAGATGCAAACATGTAGATGAAGCATACACGTGTATTTTATTTTGAAATCAGAAGTTTCAAAAGGACGACAGCGATACAGTTTCAACCATAGATATCAAAAACCTTTATAAGCTGTGTTTAGAGTTCGTCTTTCACAGAATTAATTACTTTTTGCTCTGACTTCCACATCACTGGATTTATCGAGCGATCTCCTTCCTCCACATACTCCCTCCTCTGTGTCGCACCGGAGCGAAGACTGTATAAATTGGGGCGCAAACGAACAGCTGCGACCTGCGCACTGCAGCGCAGCGGAGACGCATGTAGTGTAAATTCGGGGTCAGTCCTTGTTTAATGTGTGTCACCCACAACCTGAACCAGACTCTAGTCTGGACCCGGCTACCCTCCAAATGCACCTGTTTGTCTCTAAATGCCTTTTTTCTGCAGCAATGAAGTCAGGTCTCAGAGTCCTGCGAGCAGAACTGGATGAAGTTTGACCTCAAGCTGTACTTGGAGGTTTGTGTGGAGAGCAGTGTATCAATGACTCACAGTCTGCATTTAAACTTCAGAACTTAATCTTTAATATGGTGCAATGGTCATCAGCCTGTGACTGTGATGATCTCAATTATGTCCCAAATTGATTGCAATTTATTTTCAAAGCTGGTCTCAATTATTAGTCATAATTTGATTTCTTGTATTAGAAAACTCTCATTTCTCACATTTTCTGACTTGCAGAAATGAACTTGTGGCTAACTGTACCTGAGAATTTTAAATGATGTTGTTTGAAACATTGCATGTGACAAAATTGAGTTTGAAATGTGTCCACATTATTTTGCTTCCTTCTGCACTTTCAATCTTGTTAAACTGTTTAAACTCACCCAGCAGGACTAGATTTAGCAAGTTTGTGGAAGTAACTGGGTGATCAAAATCAGCCAGGCAGCAAACAGAGTGAATCTGCTTGTTAATACACATCTACTGGTGACATGTTGCCTGACTGCCTCTTGAGAAATTTGTGAGCTGTTGTTTCAGTGTTTACCCCAGACTATAAACTTCCTTCTGTCTAGGAGGAGCCATTCTGCTTTTGTGGAAATGCATCGAAATTAATTGTTTGGACTTATAGGTTTAGTAGCGCAAAATGACAAATAAGTTATACATGTGTTTTTTGATGATCATAAATAAATCACAGTTAATCTGGTTGTGTAACAGTCACCCAAAAACTAGCAACTCTTTCTGTCTGTCTGTATCATGCATCTACAAATACAAGAACATTACGTACTGTACCCATACATTCTAAGACACTATCTTTTGTTTGATTGTTTGTTTGTTTGTTTATTGTTTGTTTGTTTTTTGGTGAATACAGCAGAAATAATGTTTCTTCCAGTGTCTTATTTTCTGCCTCCTTCAATGTACCCATCCAGTTTGAATGCCTGATGCACTGCTCTGCCTTCTGTGTTGTTTCAAAATCTTCCCTGACCTAAGCAAAATTGAATACGAAAGGTCGTAAAATCAGGAACCTGCCAAAAGGCAACACTGTACAAGTCAGTATGGGCTCTATGCATCAACACATGGTTTGAAGGGTGGAGCAGATGTGTGTCTGTGTGTGTGTGTGTGTGTGTGTGTGTGTCTGTGTGTGTGTGTGTGTGTGTGTGTGTGCCCTTGTTTTTGCTACTTGGTGGGGGACGATTTTTCAGGAAAATGCAGCCTCATGTGGAACGAATGCTCCTTGTGGGGCCAAAGCCCAGTCCCCATGACTTTGGAGGCTGATTTTGGGTGGGAGGGTTGGTTTTAAGATCAAGGTGTGAATTGAGTTTAGGTTAGTTTTAGGTTTTAGGGTCAGGTTGGCCTTGCCTTCCTACGCAGTTCCGCTCAATTCTAGTTGCGCTTCACTGCTCCGTCTGGGATTTCTCCCATAGACAAGGATTTCTTCAGGAGAATTTTCATCCTGGCCGATCAGAGAACAGATTGTCGATTTTCTGCACAGTGTCTGCTTGTAGTTTATTTACCTGGGTCAATCAGCAAACAGAAGGCAGAGTTTTGAATGACGCTGATTTTCTGCGCAGTGTCTGCTAGTTAGTTTAGCATACGGAAGTGGAGGAAGTGAATGAAGCCAGTCCGTGTTCATAAGGCTTCCAAATTAAATTAAATTTGTCTGACAAAGCAGCAGCTCTCATTGGTCTAGTGGTCTTTTTCGGCTCAGTACTTCTCTCTCCTCAGTAGGGTTGTTTACAGTGCATGTGAGTTCCGGTTAGCTTCTTAGCTTAGCCTCCTTCACACTGACATACATCACGGCCAATCGATCCAATCATTTTAAACTTCACCAGAGGTCATGCCTCAAGCAAGAATGACTTCTCTATAGCCGAGAGTCCAGACCCTCGTACGAAGCAAAGTGAAGGACAAGGATCTGTTTTTTTTTTTACCAGGCTAGACCTCTGAGGTTAATTTTAGGGTAAATGGTCAGGGTTAGGATATAAAATTTCCAAAAAATGAATGAAAGTCAATGGAACGTCCCCACAAGGATAGAGAGACATAGTAGGTGTGTATGTGTATGTATGTGTGTGTGTGTGTGTGTGTGTGGGGGGGGGGGGTCTCCTGTAAAAATTAGGAAAGGGTACAATGTACAAATCATTGATTTGATATACCCCACATTTTAACTATACAAAACAACAGAAGCTTGGTTTGCCTTTAAATCCACTCCATTTTAACATAAACTGAACACATGTTGTGTGTTCCCACAAAGGTTGACAGCAATCCATTTTTATATGTACAAAGTCGAGCTGTTCTAAAGAAACAAGGTTAGAGGGCCTGTGGGGATTTCCCGTCCTTAATCAATAATCCACGATGCTGGGTATTGTGTTTATGCAACAGCAATGCCTTCCCAATGAGGAGGCCAGATGGACAGAGAAGAAAAGCATCCTTTTGTTTATCTGTAGAGAGAAGAGTGTTGCCATTTTCTTGCCCTTTAGATCATGTAGAACTGAACTAATCAGCAGATAGGAATAAAACACACAGTGACACTCTTCATCTTTGGGTTGTCATTTCGGATTTGTTTCACTGAAAGGCTACGAGGACTTAGAAGTTTTCCTCTGCGGAGTTTCTACATCCAGGAAAGTCATCGCTGAATCTTTCTGTAACACAAAAAATATCCATCAACTGGAGCAGAGATGGTGGTCAGTCCCTTTCACCACCCTCAAGGACAACTGACATGATTCAACCTCTTGGTTTAATCTTTGTTCCTTATAAATGTTTGATTTCAACACAAGCTAAAATGAAAGATGAATGCGTTTTACTCTACTTCAGGGTTAATGAGTTGAGCTTGCCTCAGTAACCCAATTGTCAAGAGTTTTGAGCCGGAGTCAATGCACTTTCCCTGACTTCTAAAAACCTTTAGGAAATTGTTTGTTTTTCCCTTAGACTTTGCTCTTGTGTCAGTGTCCACGAGCAGCTATTACGTCATCATCCTGCCATCACATTTCTGAGCAGCGGTTCCAAATGGTGCCTTGTGAACCCATTACTTTATAACTTCAGTTCTCTTGCTCCCATGAATGCCATTGCTTATTCCTTAAATGCTGGTCTGCAGCTCACCATTGAGCAGGGCAGCATCATGAGTCTCCAGGTTGGTGTTGATAATCATGGCTTCGTTTACCATCCTGCTTCTGTCCGCCCTGCTGTCGCTGCGCTCCACCTCGTCCAGGCCCGCCACCTTTTTCAGGCACAGCACGTTCTGAAAGCTCTTCTTGAAATTGTCCGACAGGAAGGCATACAGGATGGGGTTGGCGCAACTGTTGGCGTAACCGAGCACCACCACAAAGTCGAATGTGCTCTTCACAACAGAGGTGGGGTTTATAGAGCCGGTGACAGAAGTGACGTTAAACACGTAGAACGGTAGCCAGCACAGGACAAATACTGCTACTACAATGGACACCATCCGGGTCACCTTACGCTCTGAACGTTTGCGCTTCGAGGAACCAACGCGCATTCCAGAAGATTTCACCTGCCAGATGGAATGAAAAAAAGGGGTTAAAATCAAATTTAAACACCCTCTTTCCACTGGAAAATAAGAGGGTAGACCCTTGACAAGATCACCAGTTCATCACAAGACAAGCACAAAAACACATGCTCTATGCTTACTTTTAATTTGAATTTTGAGCCTAACATAAAAGTTAAGCCTGTTAAATGAAAATGTTTGGACATGAAGTTACAAGGCTGAGGGCTACGGCCTTGTTGTTACTGGACAAAGTGGGTCCCATTTGTAACTTATTGTAAAAAAAGTAAAGATGTTATTAATATAAACACAAGTTGTGGTGTTACTAAGCAACAAAGAAACAGAAACAAAAGAAAAATTTCACCGTACCAAATAAGTGGCATTATAAAATCAACCTCTTCACAAAAACCTAATCTTGTTACTTTCAGTAATCTGTATTTAATGATTTTTTTTCTAATCTAAAGACTTTTTAAAGGAGATGTGTTTTTATTAGAAAATATATTGTAGTCAGGTAAAATCCAAGTCTTAATCATTTTTTTCTTTTTATTTTGAACAGGTTTTGAGAATTTGCTCATTCCTTTTTCAATCCTGACTTTGTTGAGTCCATTGAGAGATGTTCTTTTTAAATGTAATACTAATTAATTAATTAGTAATTTTAGCTGTTTATGTATTACGGGTGTATTGGTATGACTAAATTACTGTTTGATGCAAATCTCAGCATAATTTCAGCTCAGAACTTGGTTACAGTATGTATGCTTGCACTTCTCCCTCCACTTTTTGTTGTGCACAGTACGCACTGATGCAGTTAAATGTGCAAAAATTTGCAACTTTTACAGTAACGAGCTTGTGGTTTGACGGCAATGAAACAGGTAAGTCAACATGTTAAACTTTCAAACCACCATTCAAGTTAGTTAATTATAAAGACAATGAGTCATGTGGCGTTGTGGCAAATAACAAATTTATATAATTTAAATGTTGTGACGCCACATGGGGAACTGTCTTGTAGCTTCTCAGAGTCAGAACCAAGATACAGATCCATCAAGCTCCAAAAGCCCATCTGAGAGTGCAGGTAAGATCACTCATTGACTGAATATTATTATCCATCCATCATCTACGTGTATACCAATTCTGGTCCTCGAGGTTCACAGCCCTGCACGTTTTTCTTGTTTCTCTGCTCCAACACAACTGATTTGAATGAATGGATGATTTTCAGAGGTAATTCTCTGACTGAATCAGGTGTGTTCGAGAAGCTGTACCAACTGAGCCACTATGCAGCCTGAATATTATTAGAATTGTTATTATGAAAAGTAATGTAGATCTGCTTTATATGAAAAGTGCCCTGAGATGGTTCAGTATATTTATGTAACTGAGCTGAGGATCAAAAAGCTTTGTAAAAAGAGAGATTTGTGCTGAGAATTACGGTATTTTAAAAAGTGATTTAGTGTCAGAAGCAGAGCCAGGAGCCAGTAGTGATCAGGGGAGACGTTGTAACAGAGTGTGAACAAACAAGCATTAGTTTCAATATAACCACTTTCTATGCCCAAACAAGAGTAGAAACCTGTTATATTTTTTTATCCATCCATTTTCTGTACATGCTTATTTCTTTCAGGGTTGCATGGGTCACTGGTGCCCATATCCAGCAGTCACAGTGCAAGGGGCAGGTTACACTCTGGACATGTTGCAAGTCCATCACAGAGACACACATAGAGACAAGTGAGACAAACAACCATTCACTCTTTCACTCACACTTAGGGACAATTTAGAGTTATCAGTTATCAGTAACAGTCATGTTTTTGACATGTGGGAGGAAGCTGGAGTACCCAGAGAGAACCCACCCATGCACGGAGAGAACATGCAGACTCTACCCAGAAAGGTCCCCGGGCTGGGATTTGAACCAGCGACCTTCTTGCTGAGAGGCATCAGCTCTACCAACTGAGCCACCGCGCCACC